AAAAAAGGGGTAAATGGTGAGGTGGAAACATTTGCAGATACAAAACTACTCAAGATAGTTAAGTCCAAAGCCGACTGTGAAGAGTTACAAAGGGATCTCACAAAACTGGGTGACAAAATGGCAGATGAAATTCAATGTTGATAAGTGCAAAGTAATGCACATTGGAAAACATAATCCCAACTAAAAGAACAGGAGTACTTGTGGCACCTTAGCGACTAACAAATTTGAGCATAAGCTTTCATGGGCTACAGCCTACTTCATCAGATGCATGCAGTGGAAAATAGAGTAGGAAGATTTTATATACACAGAACATGAAACAATGGGTGTGTTACACACTGCAACGAGAGCGATCAGGTAAGGTGAGCTATTACTAGCAGGAGAGAAAAAACCTTTTGTAGTGATAATCAAGATGGGCATTTCCAGCAGTTGACAAGAACGTGTGAGGAACAGTAGGGGGGAACAAACAAACATGGGGAAATAGTTTTACTTTGTGTAATGACACATCCATTCCCAGTCTTTATTCAAGCCTAATTTAATCATTCTCTACCCATCTTTCCAGTTCTGCATAGAGGCGCCTCGGCTAGTTGAGAGCCATGAGAGGAAACTTTAAAATCCCTTTCATGGGAGTTCAATTGCTCACCAGAATAACCCTGCAATGCAAACGGATTCTACCCACCTTGAAGACCTGGTTGTGCAAACAGGCCTCTTCAGTGCATTGACTGCTAAGGGCCAAGTGTAAAGTTGCTAAAGCATGTGTGCAGGCTCAGGCACGTGTTGCATGCCCAGCATAAGCCACCCAAAAATTTGTTGCATAAAGACTGGGATACATTCTTTTTGCAGATGCAGACTAACATGGCTGCTACTCTGGGATTATGACAGGTTTCAACTATACATATAAAATGATACGGTCTAAATTATCTGTTACCACTCAAGAAAGATCTTGGAGTCAATGTGAATAGTTCTCTGAAAACATCCACTCAATGTGCAATGGCAGTCAAAAAAATCTAACACTGCTGGGAATAATTAAGAAAGGGATAGATAAGATGGAAAATATCAGATTGCCTCTATATAAATCCATGGTATGCCCAGATCTTGAATACTGCATGCAGATGTGGTCGCCCCATCTCAAAAAAGATGTATTGAAATTATAAAGGTACAGAAAAGGGCAGCAAAAATGATTAGGGGTATGGAATGGCTTCCATATGAAGAGAGATTATTAAGACTGGGACTTTTCAGCTTGGAAAAGAGACGTCGCAGTTGGGGGGGGGGGGAAGGGTGATATGATAGAGGTCTGTAAAAATCATGACTGGTGTGGAGAAATTAATAAGCAAATGTTATTTACTCCTTCTCATAACACAAGAGCTAGGGATCACCAAATGAAATCAGTAGGCAGCAGATTTAAAACAAACAAAAGAAAGTATTTCTTCATACAATGCACTGTCAACCTGTGGAACTCTTTGCCAGACAATGTTGTGAAGGCCAAGACTATAACAGGGTTCAAGAAAGAACTAGATAAATTCATGCAGGATAGGCCCATCAATGGCTATTAGCCAGGACAGGTAGGAATGGCGTCCCTAGCCTGTTTGCTAGAAGCTGGGAATGGGTGACAGGGAATAGTTCACTTGATGATTACCTGTTCTGTTCATTCCCTCTGGGGCACCTGGCATTGGCCACTGTCCAATGAAGGGGTTTTAGCCCACAAAAGCTTATGCCCAAATACATTTGTTAGTCTAGGGTGCCACAAGTACTCCTCGGGTTTTTTGCTGATACAGACTAACACAGCTACCACTCTGAAACCTGTTGGAAGATAGGATACCATACTAGATGACCTTTGGTCTGACCCAGTATGGCCGATCTTATGTTCTGCAGAGGATCAGCACTATAGTCTCTCTCCATGGAATGCAGATGTTCTATGTTGAAATGGCTAGCTAGTCAGATTTTTAGGGATCACCTACAGTTGTTCTACACCAAGAAAGAATTGTCTATGTCTACTGGATCTAATTTTAATAATCCTCCTCCGTAGCAGGAGCAGTGTTTGAGCCTGAGCTGCTTTGCTCTCACTTTCCCTTCCCCATCACACTAGAGTCACTTGGAGACTCAGTGCTTTTGCCCAACCGGGAATCCTGGGGAAGAGGTTATTCTGGCTGGAATTAAATGTACGAGGTACCACCTGCTGCAAGTTTTTATTCTTATTAGTTCTGCAGTGGTTCTTAAGTTTAGTCCTTTGACAGCTCATTCCACTCAGGGGCAAGGAAGGGACACTGATAGCTCCCATAGAGATGCCAAATACTATCACTCTTTGTTTCCTCAGACTGCCATTATAATGTGCACATTGCTCTTAGCTGGCATCTTTATGTGCTTGTCCAGTGCCAAAGTGAGTTCCAGGCTTACCACTGGGCTCATTCCTTTATTATAGGAGGAGCTAACAACCCGTATACTTACTATTATAAAGGATTCTTGTGATTTTTTTTTTAAAAGCTCAAATGCTTCTATTGTTTGTAACTGGCATTTGAAATTTGGCAGGGTGAAAGCCCTTGGGCTAACGAAATACCTTTTCTTTGCCCCACGAAATTCCATTTAGATTTTTCTGAGATTAAACTGCTCAGAAAAAAATCACCATTTTCCTTCCATTTCCATGCTTTAGGAAAATTTATGCCAAAGTAATAATTACATGATTTTCTAAAAAAAACAAGAAAAAATAAATAAAAAAAATCTGAGGTCTCATCACACAAACATTTAGTTCATGGAAAGCAGGGGGCGTGAATATACCCCATACTAGCCTGCAGCAGACTGCCTGTGTAGATCCTGCTGAAGTACATTAACAGTTTAACGAGCTTTGATCTAATCTTGTTTCAAAGAGAACTAGATCAAAATTCATTAACGAACTCCTAATGTGTGTCAACAGTGTCTATGGAGACAATTAGTCTGGGGTAGGCTATTGTGGGGTAGATTGCTGTGAACTGAATGTTCATGTAGAAAAGCCCTGAAATTGTCACAGGAGTGCTTTATACAGGAGAGAGAGCTCTTCATACATAATTAATAGATGAGGTGGTAGTCGACTGCACACAAGAAAAATATGGCATAATTCCTGTGTTTTGTAGGACCAATGAAGTATGGTGGTGTGCACTACAAATGTGGTCCTGTTTTTGCAGATCTTAACAAGGAACACTTACCAGGGCCCACACCACCACTAAAGCAGCAGCAGTTACTGCACTGTAAACACCTGTGAACTTTTGGAGGAGCGGTAGTGGGGTCTGGATGGTAGACTAACCTTTCTTGACCCAGTATTTGGCTCCACCAACCCATCTGCTTCTCTGCGGGCACCATATGGTACTCCTGAGGTTTTTCAAGTCCTGCTGTCCCCTGACCCACCCTCTGGACCTAGTAAGCCATTTCCTCCCACGCCACCCCAGGATAACCGCTTTCTCCTGCTGCCAGCTAATGTTCTGTAGCTCAAGTGGTAGAATTCTGTGATGCTTGTGCATTAAAGTTTGGTAATGAGACAGAAATTAGTTAAACCTTGTAAAGGAGCAGACTCACCCCTGCAGCACCTCCTGTTGGTCATCCTTGGGAATTAGCTCACCAGCTGCTGGAGCACCCTCTGCAGGCCACCACAGCTCTGGCCCCCCTGTCTCTCACAGACCCCGGTGCCCCTTTGTCTGGGGCGCTGCCCCTCTGGCAGTAACCCTATACTCTGCCTCTGGGTCTTCCCTTCCTGGGGAACCCCCAACCCACTATCTCCACTTCACCTCAGCCTTAACCATACTCCCTGGGCAGACTGCAGCATATCAGCCACTCATCACAGGTGAAGGGGTTTGGACTTGCTGCCTCTGCCTATCTATGGTTGCCCCTGCAATCCCCATACCTAATAAACCTTCCCAGGCCTGCAGCCTGGGGCTTTCCTAGGCCAGAGCTCCCCAGCCCTGCTCCAAACTGGGTCCTCTATTCAGGTCTCTGCAACCAGGTCCCTCCCTCTCAGAGCTAGAGAGAGAGTCTGTTTGCTTCTGGCTCCCTGCCCACTTATAAGGGCCAGCTGAGCCCTAACTGTGGCGTGGCCCCAACTGAGTCTGCTTCCCACTCAGCCTGGGCTGTTCTCCTAGCCCTCCAGCCCTCTCCAAGGGCTTGTTCCAACCCTGTCAGGGCTGGAGTGGGTAACACCCCACTACAAACCAGTACCTGGAATTAACATCTCCATTCTAGCAGGTGCATCATAGCAAGCAACTTGTATGGTGAAAATACCAGCCCTATGGCTGGGGTCTCAGGCAGAAAAAATTGGGCCAACTTTAGATCTTGCTGAAGCACAGTTTGGCTGTACTTATGTGGCTCTATTTTTATTAATGTGCTTGATTGAAATTCTTAAGACAGAGCCAGTTCCTGCAGAATTTTTTTTCACAGAATGGCTTTTGATGGTCATGATTCATCCAGTATGGAAATTAATCAGAGCTTGGAAGAATACTGCATGATGGTTTGCCAACTCTTTGAAGTGCATGACAGTCAAAGCTCTTTGGCTATAGTTTAAATTGAACACTGTGCTAATGTGTGATTTCCAACGTTTCTGCTTATGATTCTTAAAAAAAAAAGTAGTAGGAAGGCAGTACATGCCAACATACTCTGATGGTCTTAGTCTCAAGTGTACATTGTAAATGCAGAACAATGAGGAGGAGCAGAAACCTGTTTGGGAATACATGGAAAATGCAAACTAATGCTCCTTAAAGTAACAAGCAGTTAAGTACAACTGAGGAGGAAAAAAGGTCAATAACTCAAGATATTGAAACTGTAACCCGGGGTTCTTTCAACCCAAAGCTCTTGGTAACTTTTACTCTATGCGAGGTGGTGTCAGGAAATAAATCGGGAGACACAGCTGTCCGACCGATAGATGGCTGGCACAAACAGGACAACACAAGAGTGCTTTCACTTAAAGCTAAACTTTACTTAGTCTCAAGCACTTATACACATGTCTGCAATAGGTTAGTAAAACACTCCCAACCCTTGATAATTACCAAAGCTGAGTGTGGCTCTCGAGTGGTACAGCAGCAGCCCGTCTGCTAGTGGGGAACACAAGATGCATCCAGAGGGAGAGTCCAGTCCTGAAGAGTTTCCCTACCTCAAACTTTTTCCCCTTATTTATACATTAGTAATAGAATGACATGTAGCTTAAAGCAAATTTGTTAAGTAAGCAGTTTCAATGGTCAAGTGAGAGGTTCCTTCTGATTATCGATTAACCAGGTATGGGTTTTTCCAGAGTTTGCAGCCTTGAGGCCCCAATAGACATTCCTGGGGCACATCCTGCTCTTCTAAGATGCATGTATCAGCAACTTCAACACAATTCTTATCAGGAAGGATACGGTGTCAAGCTGCCCTCTCTGTGGCTGGCATGCGCACACACACACACACACACCCCACCCCCCGCCTTGGTTAAACTGAGACTGCTGAATGGCCTAAAAAATTTACAGCCTGCTGACTTGGCTGTTTTTAGCAATAAGCTATAGTGGTTTTAGGCACTTTACTGGTTTGAAAAGTCTCCCCGTACAAAACAACATCCTTGTAAACTATTCATGGAACTATTACTTCTCCTACATATCTGACTCACTAGGTGCCTGCAAAGACTTCAAAACTGGAGTTTGGTAGCTAATTTATTATCTTACAGGTTTCAGAGTAGCAGCCGTGTTAGTCTGTATTCGCAAAAAGAAAAGGAGGACTTGTGGCACCATTTGTTAGTCTCTAAGGTGCCACAAGTACTCCTTTTCTTTTTTTTATCTTACAGTATTTCTAAGGCATTGCAGAAACTGCAAAACATTAGGAGAAACCATCATCATCATCACAGAAAAAGATTTTTTTCTCTACAATGTTGGGATAAAAATGTAAGTAAAAAGAAACTTAGAATAGGAGAATTTTAAAAATGAGAATGTTACCAATGAAAGATACAAAATTTGAAACAGTTACTTAAACAAATTGACAATAAAGATGTTTTTCTAGGTATAATCATTGTTTCTTAAGATTTTTTACTGAAACACTGCAAAACCTTTGGGTTATTTTAAAGCTGCCAAATGGGCATGTAGTCATCAAGCATAGTCAGAAAAAATAGTAATGGTCAATTTTCAGAGATGTTTTCTTAACATTTTGAGTATTTGACCTTTTTTCTAAAGTGTAGTCAACTACTTGCCACTGAGGGAAAGAAAAGAAGGAAAGAACAAGGTTGGGGGAGGAGCGTTTGGGTTTTTGTGGGGGTGGAGAGGGTTCTTGTAGAGACTTGGATCTAATTCAAGCCAATTCTATACAGACGTCCTTTATAATACATAAATGGATAGTTTTTAAGACCAGAAGAGACTGTTATGATAATCTAGTACTATCTCCTTAACACAGAATTTCATCCAACGATTCTGGCACTTAGCCAACATGATGATTGTTATTAATCATGTTTATTATGGTAGCGCCTAAGGACCAACCAAGAATGGGGACCCATTGTGTGAAGCACTGTACAAACACAGAGTTTGACAATCCTTGCTCTAGAGCTTACAGTCTAAATAGACGAGACAGATGCAGAGTAGGGGAAGCGGTGTAATACACTAGCAGAGTGAATAGTGTGATAGTGGCAAATGTCATGTTAATTCCATGATTATTTTCAGTGGTGGGTTTAGTAGTTAGGCGGGATAAACTAAATGGAAAGAAAAGTGATGAGAGAGGGGACACTGAAGAAAAGAGGGACCTCTGAGTAGTGAAAATATGATATGAAGGAATTGTAAGGGAGAGTTGGAGCAAACAGACAATTAGCACAGGGAAGAAAAATTCCAGATATAACTGCAAAAAGTGCTTTGAATGTCCAGAGGTCCTGGCTTTGGCTCCTTCTCCAGCTGTTCCTACTTGCTGGTGTTTCTCTGCAGCGTATTCCCAAAGACCACATAGTGCGGGGGAGGGGAGGCAACACATGGGTCCTAGTGTCCCCTGCACTGTTCTGGATCCGGGGATAAAGTTAGGAAGGGTGGCCCTGGCTGGGGCCCATTTTACTCTCCCTGTCCCCCTTAGTGAACCAGTCCCTGCTTTGACTGCCTCCATTGTGTTTGAATTGATATATAGGGCTGGATTCTCCTATCCACTAACACCAGTTTGAGCTGTTTAAACTTCATCTTCTCCTAGCATAAATTAGGGCTGTCTGTTCCTGTATAGTCCTGATTTGTGCCAGAGTTAGGCAACTCTGAATAAAGGAATTGCACTTTATTTTTAGTTTGAACATTACTAATTTCAGAGTCCAACCATTGGATCTTGTTATGCCTTTGTCTGCTACATTAAAGAAACCCTAGAGCTAGATTTTGCTATCCTGCTTACCCACTAAAATAGTCTATGAAGTGGATTATCATATATGCATTCACATGAGCAGCAATTCGTATACACAAGCACCTGTTTGTATATGTTTTCAGAAATGCCAGCTTTTAACAAAAGCCATGGCCTCTGTTCATTAAAACCTTACAGGAGTGATATCGGGGGGAGGGGCGGGTTCCCCCCTGAAATTTACCCCACTTCTTCACAGTTTGCAGAATACATACAGGGCTTAAATTTACAAATGTCTGTATAGTAATTGAGTTCAATTTGTGGTGCTCTTCACATTTACGCTCTTCACCTAGAGTGCTCTTCTTTTGTGTGTGGAAAGAATATACACAGGCATCAAAGCAGATTGGAATTTGGGAGGTGAGAATTAAGTAACACATTAGGGAATTGTACAGAAGAACGGTTGATCACATGGTCAGCAGCTGTTTTATTTCAGATCTTATATAAATTCCAGCTTCTGACCTTGTCTGGACACAATCATTTCATATTATATATGAGTCAGGAACACCAGATACATTAATGTGGCAAAGGCAAATTCCATATTTTTACATGTGCTATATACAATTTAATATGACCCTTGAAACAAGACATACTGAGAATAAGAATCTGAGTCTAAAATCCTTATACACGTAAACCTGGAAAATATCATAATACAGGCCTTTAATTCAATTTCTAAATGTTATTCATTAAATTATAATATATATTTTGAAGTTAGAGAAATTTACAAAATTAAATTTTAGGGGAGAAAACTTCACAGTACTCAGGAAGTGTTGTTTTGCTACTTACAATATCACATTTAGCATTTAATAAAATATACATTTAGATATCTGAAAGTAGACAATTGTGGTACTGAGCAGTAGCAAGTCTGATGGAGTGGGTCACAGTTGACCCATTTCCTGACACAATAAGGGTTATTCATTTACACACATGTACTTACCTACGACTATTTCTGTTGTTCAAAATAATGACTGATCCTTATTTGATAATGATCTGTGGCTGAAAGGATGTTATCCTAACTACATATTTGAGTGGAGGCTTGAAAGAACAACTTCTGCTCTTGCTACCTCTCACCCTACAAGTTTTCTTTTCTCTTTGTTTTCTGGTGTATCTTCAAAGAAGAGCAGAAGGATCATCCACATTCCATTAATTGCTTACAAGAAACTTTCTCTAATAACTTGAAGGCCTTGTCATTGGCTGATTTATTTTGTTTTATAGTACTGAGGGTTTGGTGTGGAATTTCAAAATTGTGTCTGATTAAATTGATTTAATTTCAAATTCTCCTTTAATTGTTATATGTCTGACTGTTAGCTCACACTTAGTTCAAAGTCTTTGTGGAATATCGGATGAACCCTTATATATTTCAAAAATTGAAAAATGATTAAATACAATAAAGCATTTAAAAAAAGAAAAGGAGTACTTGTGGCACCTTAGAGACTAACCAATTTATTTGAGTGTGTGAGCTGAAGCTCATGAAAGCTTATGCTCAAATAAATTGGTTAGTCTCTAAGGTGCCACAAGTACTCCTTTTCTTTTTGCAAATACAGACTAACACGGCTGTTACCCTAAAACCTGTCATAAAGCATTTAAAAGTGTGAATTAGAAAAATATATACTTTACTATCATAACATTTTTTTAAAAATACCTTAACTTATACATCAGTGTGTATTGAAACATTTTTGCTTGTAATCTTATAAGGCACACTACATTTCATGCAGATGGTATATGGTTGAAGGGAACCAGGAAGTTATAGCTGTTCATTTTGACTGCATGATTAGATTAATGTCTTGGCACTTAAATCTCAGGATGTAAAAGACATCTAAAGAAAAATCTATGCCACAAAGTTTGCTGCAGATCCAAACTGCCCCAAAATTCAGGATTGAGAGGGTCTGGGGTTTGGTTTGGCCCATCTCTAATAAGTACTGTAACAGTAAGTTCTTGAAAGCTATTTTTGCTGACAAAACACCATAATCAATCAGCATTCATGTGTTTGTGACTGCCATTTTTGCTGAACATCTTAGTTAACTGTTTAAAGTACACATGTTTGAAAGGGAAGCTGATAAAAAGAGAATAACGTGCAAACATAAACTTTGACCCACACTGAATGGGTGAAAAGCCAAGTCTGATTTTCACAACTTTTGTCTGTAGAATCATTTACAATGACGATTACATTGCTCAACCAGAGCAACGATTACATTGCCCAAAACAAGCTAGAGAACTTGGAAATGGAACCCTTCATATTTACAGTTCACAGGTGAAAATCAGGAAGAGGTAAAGTGCCTCTAGGCACTAGAATGATGTTACAATATAAAATAAAAAGTCTGACTATCAAAAACTGTTAAAGATTTTCAATCTGGAAGGGAAGACCTACAGGGAAAAAACAAATCCTACTTAACCTATATCTACAGACATATAGGAGCAAGACAAAAAGGACTGGAGTGGAGAGAACACTGCATACATTTGTTCTTCATAGCTAAACAGCAAATACAAAATACCGTTTCTTTTAGTTAAATCTCCTTTATGGTTAAACACAATGAGAAGATGACTTATTGTATACTCTAAGTTTTACTGTAACAATTGAGAGCTAAGTAAAAGACTGAAGTCCTCTTTGTTGACTTGCTGATTTGGAAGTAGGCAATACCTTCCTTTTTTGGCAAAAAAAAAAAAAAAATTCAACAATTCAAACAATTCTCATTCAATAAATTAACCAATTTGTTGCGTGTTCTCTCTTATCTTATTTGTCAGCCTGTCAGTGTATTTATATGTCTATGGCCTTCATCACTGCAGTATCTGACCATCTCCCAAGTATTTTAAAATAGATACAACAATATCTCTCTTTCTTTCTTCCCACCCTATTGGAGAAAAACTGTGAATAGTTTACAGTCTCTCTCTCTCTCTCTGCATTAGCAAGGTCACTTTTTGTATAGACATCTTAACATCCAGAGCAGTTTTTCATGTTTCTTAATACAAGGGGAAATGAAGTGTCTAATTAAAATTAGATGCACCATTCACA